GCTATTGATGTTAAATTTCTGTTAAGCGTCCTCGTACTTTTCGAGGACGTTGGATCCATGGTGCGGCCTAGACAACGGGCTGCCTGCCTGCGTGCGACAATGCAGAGTGAATTCACCATTGATAAAGTGCATAGTGATCAATAAGAAAGAGACATTGTTGATGTCATCGGTCCAAATATTGATCGTGTTGTCGAACCAAATTTCTTCCGCTACATGCGCTTCTGGGGAGGTAGTCAATAACTCGCGTCCAACAATAAATTGGCTATCCACATTTCTACTGATTGTGGTAGTATCAAATGGATGTTGTCCACACGCATGACGACTTTTGAGTTGACGCCAATGTTTAGGTTGGTCTGCATATAGTTCTTGAAGCCGTTGCCCTTCACTATATGAAATGTACGCATGTCAATGACGCACATGTCCGCCAACGCTGCGATGATGAGTTTCTTCTTAGTTGTAGTTGGATAGTAGCGCGTCGCCGTACTTGGCATCTCTTAGTCGGTCTTTGCTGAAAGACATACCTGTTTCAACATGGCGGTTTCTATTGGCTGGTTTGTATTGATTAACAGTGAGGCATTAGTTGTAGCAACAAAAGAGTTGTCATTGCAGCGAAGATGTTTGCCGGTCTCCTTGATGACGACAAATGAACAGACTCGTGCCTTGGTTTTGTGGTTTTTCATTTGACAATAGAGACTGTAATCTTTCTACAGATCTGCAGGATTTTGGTCTTGAGTATGAGCATATCCTTGGACATCAACTCAATTGTCTTCTCATTATCAATCATGACGGAAGCCGCGAGTGGCGAGGATTTTGGATATGGATACTCAATGTAGGTCTCTGTTGTGCAGTCAGCATAGAGGTAGGAACTCATACACGACCTATTTTACTCTGGAATCCGAATGATCAATCTTTAAACCCGACCTCTATCCGAAATCATGAGATTCAAAGTTCAACAAGGAATCGATCCGAACCGTTATTGGCCTCGATCAACCCCACCCATCATTGGTTAGACGGATACGGTTTGAATTTCAAGTATGTATACCTGATGCAGGTATCTGGTCATGGATAGAAGCCATCTAATTTCATGTGGTGTGGTTGCACATCATACGGTTCTCAAATTCAGCCTTTTTTTTATTTTGAAATCTATCAAACAAAAATTCATTTATTATTTAAAATATCTTGACAAAAGTTTCTAATATTTACAAACTCAATTGACTCAAAATTTTATAAGATTTATATCATTTATGAAAGAACTATTCAATATTTGTTATAATATTATCTCATACATCCAAAGGAGTTTTATTGGAAGAATATATTTATTATATGTATTTTAGCATATCAGATGAATTACATTAATTGATTTAAAAAATGATAGATTATTTTGAAAATGAAATTTATTAATAACACAAACTTGAAGTCTAAAGTTTTAAAATGTTTCATATCTATAATGATGAAATTTTTTGATTTATTTAAAAACTACTATCATATAATTATTACTAGTTTTCTGGTTTAATTGTACTATTAGAATATGGATGATGCTTTCATCGTGTAAAATGTCAAATCACGTCAAGTGTTTTAAAGAATTGACTGATAGTAATTTAAACTAGTATCAAACTGTGATTTTTTGACTTTTCTTTGACAATCTGCTTTATTTTCATGTAATTTTTTATGACACTCAGCTTTTTAAAAATAACATAAAAAAATTATTCCTACTTATAAAATGCATAAATCAATGTACATATATACAAAGTTGACATTGCCAATAATTTTTAGTCAATTATGCACTTGAACAAGTTTAACGTATATTATAGTCTTTACAAATCTAGCTTTTCTTTTAGCTTCAGGGCCTAGCCTTTCTAAATGTTTATCAATTCTAAAATTCTAATCTGCTTTAAATGGGTTTCATGAAGTTGGCATAGTTAATATTGTTACATTTCTTTGTACATGTTTTGCATAATACGTCATATATGAATTGTCAAAGTATGGTAATCTTCCAGTTAAATACATATCCGTTTAAGTATGCATCCCGGTTAAATACTCATAATTTACTAAAAAAGGGGATATCAAGATTTCATTCAAAATGCAAGTTTGGAAATTCAAATTTTCCACTTTGAAACTTGCATTTTGCAAGTTTGGAAGATATTGTACTTGGAAACCAATTTTTGATTGATGTTTGCTCATCTGATATTAGTACATGTATTTTGATAGTATTACAAAACAACTAGCCAGTATGAATCATATTGTTTACATTTTCAAATAATATAGAGCGATAAACAAACAGAGTTGTTCTAAAGCTTGGTGAAAACCACTGGAACAGTGGGAGATTCCATTTTTGAGATGACAACGCATCGAAGTACAAGCCCCGCAAGGGGGAAAGAAAAAACAAGGATACGGTGCAGAGTTGTTCTAAAGATTTCAGTAATATACAATAGGATCTGTTGACTTCAGCTCACTCTTTGATAAGCAACAACTTTTGCAACTCTCATGGCTTTGTGATTGATTTAGCCAAAATTGATAAACTTAATGAAATACTTTTTGCTTTGGATTTTGCGAAAGAGGGAAATTGGCCCTAAGCATGTCAAAGCATTTCTTCAAATTCAATTAAACAACTAACCAGATTGATAAATATTTTTTGTAGGTTTAGATATTTAGTAAGATCTTTTTAGGATTTGCTACCATTTGTCTCAAGCATTTTGTTCAGTTGCTTCACTAATTTTGTATTTGCAAACTAGAGCTACTTTATCGGAAGCATCCATGTTATTCAACTTATATCACATCTAAAGATCATTTGGTTGTTTTGTTTTCTTTATAATTAATTTGTCTATTAAAAATTGTCATAATAAATCTGAAGACCTTACTCAATAAATTCTTTTGTACAAATTATTGTTACATATTTTAACTGAGAAAAAGATCTAAAAGGTGCCATCTATCAAACGTTACCGAGACTACAAGCCATCCCCACCGGTCAACTTCCATTGGGGCAGCTTCCTAGCCTATCGCTAAGCAGGGGAATCAAATCAGCCTTTTATAGATTATGTAACTCTCCGAGTAGTGATACCAATTTCAAAAATAAACTATAGATAGATACCAGGCATATTTTCTAAATATAGTTCTTTTCGCTGCCATTGTTGGAGTAATGGGTATATGCTTTTCAGTACTAATTCGTATGGAATTAGCACAACCCGGCAATCAAATTCTTGGTGGAAATCATCAACTTTATAATGGTGCAAGCATGCTATACTCCCCTAGGCTTTTGTCGGATTCCTTTTGGTTATAGCGTCGGATGAGCTGCTAGCATTACGTGCGTGATTTGCAACTCGTAAGGTGACTTGCATGATCATTTTGACCTGGGGGCCTCCTGCGCTTGGTCGTGTCTTCCATGAAGACAATTACAATATAGACAACCTTAGGGTTGGCTACAAAAGGCTAAAAGGAAATAATAAGTAAACTTATGAAAGGTTCATATATAAAGTTATATATGAACCTTTCATAAATTTACTAATTATTGTTGGTAAGTTTATCTATGTTTCATTTGAAGAGATTAGAACTTGGATGACTATTCGCATTCGATGATTATTCGCATCGGAGATATACTCGACATTAAATTTGATTGAGTTTAGGGTTTTGATTCCGAGGATCAAGATGCGAACTTCGTCAGGATATTATTGACTTTTGGGAGACTTTTGAGGTTTTTCATCACTGCAAGATCAAATGACTTTTATATTTTTTATAATAGGTTTTTATTTTGATTTGTGATTAATTATTTTTTAATAAATTAATTTTTTTGAAGTTCGCAAAGTGAGCTTAATTCAGAAATCATATTATAAGCTGCGGGGATTACGATGTCATGGTAGCCTATTTTAGCGCTAGGCTGACAGGTACTGCGCGATAAAAGTACAAGGTTTTTTTATTCAGAGATTTAGATAAATTTTGTTTTCAGGTCTACTAGCTCATTTTTATCAGGTATAAAATAGAGATATATTTCTCATAGAATAAAATTTGATACAGTACACTGACATCAAATTTTTGCTGTTAAATTTTTATGACCCATATTTTGTAAGTAGGAGTGATTTTCAAATATGAAGTAAATATACGGGTCGATGTTAACATCTATATTTACTCTCATATAATGAAGTGAAAGATTAGAATCCGATTATCGCAATATAGAAATAATGAGAATGCATATATGCAAAACATTGTTTTAGTAGTTGCATCATGTGAAAAACCTCTTCACATAACCTGATCTAAAGAATTTATATAATGAGTGGAATGACTTTAAAGGAGAGTGTAACATAGGCGGAGTTAGATAAAGCACAATACGTGGATTGATAATATAAAATTCAACTTTACGATTTTTGGTATATGTAGAGTTATCTATATTATAAAATTGATATTTAACCCACTTACGATTTTGGAGATGATTTTGAAAGTGCGTATTTCATAAACCGAGATTCTATAAGTAAGAGAAGTTGTTAAAATTATGTGGCTCGCTTGTGCAGTCCCAGTATTACCACTACGAAAATAAACGTATTTCTATGGCAACAATGTATCGATATTATATCATTTGTAAAATTAGTAGTTAATGCTAGAGACATAAGTACTGTATAAGTGGGCAGTTCGGGTTATTGAAGTAAAAGCCTGGACGGTTTGGAAATCAGACGCAGCACTCCCACAATCCCAGTATAGAGCGGGGCTCTGGAGGGCCCTTTCTTTAGAAGAACAGTTGCCTCTCCTGGTATGCAAATGTACTGACATTTATGCTCATGTCTCCGCAATCAATACACCATACATATACATATACATTATAGTTACCATTTTTAATGCAAATTGAACATAAATAAAAGTTAAACTAAATTGCCGCTATAGAAACCCATAGTGCCGTAATTTTCGAAAAGCGCAATCCTATGGCAAGATAATTTAAAGAACATATATAATGGAACGGGTAGCTGTAACTCATGTGTGAATAAGGATATTTTCTCGCCGATTTGCCGTCCAAGCGTCATCTGTCTGTCGAATTGTTGTTCGAAGGCTTCTTGCGTCCTCTCACAACGCTATCGGTATGCAAATGGGAAGGCGGGGCTGTGAAGTGCTGATTCGACCATTCAGATTTGACCTACTGTTGCTACAGATACTATTTTAAGAGCCTCGACCGAATGAGAAGACGATTGGACGGTTATGACATTGTTTGGCCTTGATTCAATTATGGCAATTCCGTCGTCTTCCCTCGAGGGTGCCGTCTATCTGGTTATTCATCTCTTTCAAAAAATTGGAGGTGAGCCAAGATCATCGGAGGTGGTGGGTCAATCCCATCATCCCGTCCTGCGGAAGGGGCCGGTCGTTGATTATTCTCGTCGATCAGATGATGCTCAAAGCTCGTTGCCTGCGGAGTGAGGGCTGACTCTGTGAGTGACATACTCGAATTTCATCGACTTTCTTTATGAACGATTGATTGTCCTTCAAGCACTTCTTCACATCCTTTGGGTGTGAAGAATGTGCAGTGTTCTGCTGAAGGTTTTCCTCGAGGGACGATGAAAAGCAGTGGATATCCGAACGAGCACGTATCTGAGGCTTTTGGGTAAACGCTCCGCTCCGAGACGTGAGAGATTGTTAATTTCCAAGTCTACATCTGTGGGCAGTCCAACGTCCATGGTATCACAAGAGGCTGAGTGAGTTCCATCCGCTTGTGTATTAAAATGCTTTCGTAGACACAAGTCGGTGTCGGGATTAACCGACGGCATCGTGCAATATATCGGAGGAATAATTTCGGGTTTTTAGTGACGCTTTTATATTCTAGAATGTTGTTGAAATGTCGACTGTAGGTGTTCTTCGAGTCATTAGTAACCACTACGTCAGTTGGTCTTGTAGGTAATGGACCTGTTAATATAGCGACAGGAGTTTTGCCACTAGAGCCACACAGCATCATTCGACGACCTTGTTTCATAAGATCAGACTGGACTTACGCGGGATGTAAGGAGTGTCTCTTGCAATCTCCAAAGGTTTTATTTCAGGTTACCACATTAGTTAGAATCAACCATATTGACCTTTACAGCCGCCGCTCCACGAGTTGCTGCATATTGCTATCCGCATTGGAGAAGGAAGAGAATGGACACAGAGCTGTGGGGCAAATTGCCTGAGGACATACTGCCCCACATCCTGTCACGCTTGCCATGGTGGAGTATGATGAAATGTCGAGTAGTAAGCAAACAATGGCAATCGTTGCTTTCGGATCCCATCTTCCTCAAAATCGCGGTTTCCTCTCCTGGTGCTCTTGACCCACCTTGCTGTGTCTTAAGTAATCATAAGTTTTACTACGTAATCATAAATCCTGACACGCAAAGGTGTCACGCTATACCACGAGACAATATGTTTCCATTGCAGCATCATCCTGAGGCCAATCGCTTCCAACTCCATGGTACTGCAGGCGGCCTTTTCTTCATGCAGGTAGCATTTCAATGTCGTGATAGGTACCTCTTTAATCCTTTAAACGGAACACAGAGGCTACTACCTGCTGTACCTCCATCACCTTTGTTAGTTCTTGACAGTCCCTGGACAAAACTTCATCAACCAAAAACTTGGATGATGGTAGATGACAGTGGCCATCTCAGACTTATCTGCTTGCAAGTTCGAGAAACCCCAGTGGGGAATCCCGAACTGGTGCTATGGACTGTCCACACTTACGACTTTGTAGAAAATGGTTGGCGCCTACACTCTACCGATCTGCCTGGCAAGAGACTTGAGTTTTGTATCTCTGCCACGTTGCTGGAAGGCAACGTCTACCTTTTAGTGAAAACACCAGTGCTTTTCACAGGAACGGGATTAACACATCGTCTGTTTAAGGCTTACGCGAGGCATATGGTCGAAATGTCGATCAAGTTTACCGATGGGATTTCGGCCTTACAAATCTTCCAGTATCAAGGAGCCCTCATGCTCATGGCTGGAACAGAAGAGCCTAGGAAGCCTCCGTTCCACGTGAGCATATGGAAGTATGATGAAATCCTCGAGAGCTGGGAGAATGTGGTCTCCATGCCGCAAGACATCGTGGATACTTTCTATGAAGAAATGTCGGCTGAAGGAGGGTTTTACTTTGATAAAGAAGGAGACGTTTGCTGTTTTGCTAATCGCTTGGACTCAGAATTCATTGTAATGTATCACTTCGTCCGCAACGAGTGGTGGCATGTTTCATGCTCGGAAACAGTCGTGGATGAGTTTGAAAAGATGAAGGTCGTATGCCGTCTGACATTTTTGTGGCAACCCAGATTGGACATTTTTCTGTAGTCGGACATCTGCTAATTTGCAAACGGCAGATGTCCCTCACTGATTTGTAATCTGATGGTCCGAGCCACTAGTTATTCCACTCTTCCAGAACAGTCTGTACCCATGGCAATGATAGGTTTCTCAAAAGAGAAAGATCAGAAATTGTGCAGGCTAAACAATTTCGTGTTCTGGAATCAGGAAAGCCAAAGAAATAAATAAAACTCACTATCAACAAGGACATTAGTGCTTAGACGCTACTTTCTTCTGACTGCGTTCATGAGTCAGTCTTTGCTGCTGTCTAGAGGGAATATCTGCGTGATTCAATTTGAACTCCATTTCTCATTCGATTCTAAGTCAAGCTTCTAGATTAAGACGCCTAGTGATCTGTTAAGATCCTTCACTAACCAATGTCCATATGTAGGAGAGGAAGTTTCGATGCTTCAGTATTTGAGTTAGGATCGTAAAATCGTAAGCTGCATCGTTGCTATCAGGGAAATGAATGATGCAGAGGCATTGTATGTTTCGTATTTAGGCAATGTGCGAGGAACTCTTCGATTTACAAGTCTCTCTATTTCATACATACATAGAGTTTGAAGTGAACTAGCTTTGTTTAGGGATAGATGAGGGTTTTCAATAGCTTTCTGCGTAATGAACTTTACAGTACATGTCCGATTTTGAACGTGCTTTGCATTCAGCGGACAGTACAAAGTAGCTGTTATGACCAGAAATATACTATGCACTTGTTGAGATCACGGAGACAATCTGTTTGCCCGGATCGATTGCATTAAAAGTTTGTTCATCATGCTGGTATGCTTCGCTCACAAAGCTCTTGTAACTGAAGGTTTTAATTGATCATGGCTTAGACTCAGGTCTCTTTGGTATATTACTATTTACAAGCGAAGACTAGCCCATAACATGTCTGGCTAAATCCACTGCGATATATAGCACAGCGGATTTCTAGTAAAGCAGCTGCATCAACTTGCATAAACATCTACTTTCCCTGTCTATATTTGAAGCTATGCTCAGAAAAACACTCACCTTGCGATTATTGAGGTTTGGTGGGACGATATATATCTCTTTGCGCCTGCGCTCCATAGTGCAAGGCAGCCGAAGTATATGACTCCAAATCCCTCGGTTGTTCTATCTATCCATTACAATTGCTACTTTCATTATTGATATAGCCACATTGTATCATGAGACAAAATGACAGTAGTTTTCTGTCTGCTACCTTGCTTTTCTTTCATGCCTGCAATTGATTCAAATCAGTACAAATCTCAATCATTGGGCCTTGAAAGTAAGGTAGGCTGAAGAGGTAATGTGAACTTCTCAGAAAACTCCAAATGTGAAGATGTCTTATCAGACACACCTTTGAACATACAAGTGATAAACACAAGCGATTGTATGCCTATTCTCTTGCACAATACAGAAGTGAACACTCAGAAGCAACGCGAATTACTCACATGTGATTTTATTTGCCCAGCTGCGGGGCCGTGCTATCTCCCGCCCTCTCGTCTGTCTGCCGGAGACTCGAATGAGAGCCAAGCCTTTGCTTCCTGCCGCCAGCGGTTTTCCAGGGTGCGGAAGTGCCTCCTGAAGTCTTCTTGGTCGCTATTCGTCGCCGAGGGTAGCAGCAGGCTGGAGGTGCGCGGCGTCGGTTATCGCGTCCGATCCAAGAGTATAATAGTCGCATGCATATCATGATTGCTCCCTTTACCCTTATCTGGCCCGGGCGTACTGCCGTGTACTACGAGTTACGATCAGAGTCCAAGGTCGAGGCAAGCCAACTGACTCGGCGACCATTGGTTTAACAGCGAGGGTGCCCACCCGGTAACATATAAAAAAGATGGAAAGATCTTGCCCATCTGGTCGTACAGGGATGAAGCGAAACGCGTAACATTGCTTTGACAGCACGCAAGGCTCCGGAGTATATATGACTCGAGTCAATAGGAATCATCAGGCCTATTCCGCCCAGCATGGTGGTCAGGGCATATGCTTCCTTGTAGGCCTGCTCTGCCAGGTACATCACATCTTGGCTTCTAGACCTGGTACAGTACTTCACATCTTGGATTTGACATCATGCAGACCTTCTGCTTATAAATTAACGTCGAACGTATCAACTTCGTTTGGTACCCGACGACCGTTACCCGACGACCGTTTGATTAAATTCAGAATCAATCAAAAGAATAACAAACCTCTATCAACGCAACGATGAACTGGTTTTCGAATGTTCTAACCGTCGTAGAAGACTACAGCAATGAAAGAGTTATAGTTCACGTTGCAAATCGTCGTACAAAGGATGACATTCACTCAGAGAACGGAGCTCAAGTAGACAACTAACACATGATTCATTATACGTCGTTGGAAATTTTATGATTTTATTCACAAAATACCCTAATTTTGTCACTGAAAGCTTAAATGAGCTCTTTTATGGAATGGTATACTAATTAACTTAATTATTCAAGTTTAAGCCAATCGGATTTAACTCAAGATATGAGTCAACTCCCGGCAATTATCCCCTTCATTCATGTCTTGAGCATCATAAATCTCATATCACATATATCTACTCGATAAATAATTTTAGATTTGAGTCTAACATATATTTTTCTATTCACTAGAGTTAACTTGAACAAAATCACAGCCCAAAACATGATAAGTAAAAATTATGTATTAGAAGTAGTAATATTGTTAATAAATTTTACTTGTATTTTTCATGAAAAATATCATAATGATCTCCAAATTTTTTTCCAAAAATAATTTTGATCAATACATAAACTATATTAGTTTAACTTTAAACTTGATTAACTCAATCTTTTTATCAAAAATTTCATCTTTGATAATATGATACATAATGATTACATGTGTACAAATACATACTTTACTATACTTTTGATTTCTTAATTTTTGCAAGATGTAATGCACTTTTAAATTCATTATTTTCAATCCCATATTAGTGGATAATCTATTAAATCAAAAGTCTACTTTGCTATTTTTGTTGTTGATTGATCTACTTTGCAGCATGGAACTTCTGCAAAATAGATCTTCAAATAAAGTATTCACTTCAAATTTAAACACATACATAGTTGTAGATATTTTCTGATCTAGATTTGATCCATAGTCAACATTAATTCAAACTAACAAATATTAATCATTGTATGATAAACCATCAACTAAAAGATAATAATCCTTGGATTCTTTGAGATTTTTGATAATTCACTTCATAGTTTATTAATACATCTCTCCTGGATTTTACATTCACTAGCCCAACTCTGAAATTTCCTTCAATCCCTACAAATGTACCAAGATGTAAATTATCAACATCAAATAATCAATATTTTTTTTCCAATAGCCATGTCATCCACATGAATAACAAAATTTTCCATGGTTAGAATAAAATCATATCGAATTTATATCATTATAAACATGAATCTATCCATTGTCTTGTCATGAAATATTCATGAATTTTTTTTACTCAATTTTTTTTATTTTATATTAAGCTGCAAAAAAATTGAAATATGTTTTTTCAAATATTTTCTTTGAAATATTTGAATAAATAAATCTTACGTAAATAATCTTGAATGGAGATTTTAGATTGTCTTTACATCTCTTGACCTCATATTGATGTCTTGTCAAAATGAACATGTACTTCACAAGAATCGCTAAAATAATAGATTTAAGAATCTCATTGTTCATACTTTTTATGTGTACACATAGATCTTACACACTCTGTGAAAATTTTAGTACTTTCATGAATTCATTAAACTTTGCATTTCATTTTCTAGAAACTTGTTTCACTTCATACAATATTTTAGTATTTTACGAATTACTTGTTATTAACATTTATCCAAATTCAACTGATTGTCTTATGATAATTTTTTAATACAATGATTCATAAACTAATAATGTGACTACAATAGGACTTGAGTGAGCTTCGCGAGAATCTGTATAGAATCACATCTGTGCTGCATGCCAAAGAACATTTTCTACAGTTCAAGCTGCACAGTGGTGGACACAATGCTCGTCGAAGAAAGTATAAGAGATGATGGCAAGACAGTTCAGATGCCTCTAGAAAAGGTCAAAGTGAACTTTGAGAATTTGCTGGACACAATGTTCGTCAAACAGTGTGCAAGAGGTGATGGCATGGTAGTTCAGATGCCTCTAAAAAAGGTCAAAGTGAACTTTGAAAATTCATTGTCTGAAGATAAATCATCGCTACTAAATTGGAGCAAAGCAAAATGAGTCGACCCAAATTTACGAGAAGAGGGAGGGAATGTTGTCAGCATGAATTCCTCGGACTCAAATGATCTTCTGCGGAAACCACTGAAGCATTCTGACTAAGGTGCTGCAATCAAGGAAGGGATCCAAGGCGCTGGCACTTATCAAGTCATCACTATAGATTTCGAGTTGGAAATTATTGCGAAGTTCATCGTGGTGGCCCCTATATCACATGCTTCGGCAAGTGGCACCAAGAGCCAATTGACAGCTGATGGATGACTGCATCCATCAGATTCATAACAGTAGAAATTGTTGCCAATGCACAAAGATCAAATTGTAGCATATTTTGTTACTAGTGAAAAAACTTATTCTCGTTCACACCTTTTTCTTGAAGGAAATATTCAAACTTATCAACCTAAGTTTGAATATTTTCTTCTCGTCATCTGTTAGATAATACTTCAACTTACTCATCTTTTACTAGCAAGCAAAGTTTGACTTTTTGGAAGCTTCACTAGTTTTTACGCCTTATAATCTATTAGCAATTACATAATATGCTTCCAACAGTAATACATCTAAGCTTATCATACAACCTTGCAGAATTGTATATTAACAAGATTTTACTCCTTCCAAAATGTCAACATTATCTTCAATATGAGTATCTTGATCTTCAAAAATGAAGACAACCGTCTATATTCTATATCTTATAAGAATTTGATTTTTTCAATTTGAGGGTGTTTTAGTGAACGTTTTTGTTTGATTTTTATTTTTTGATGCAAAATGTTGAGTCTTCTTTTTCACAATAACTTGATACTTTAATTTTTTTAATCATGAATCTACTTTGGATGTATCAATTTTGTTCTTGTGTCATATCATTAGATTTTTAATAATTAAAAACTTTCTTAACAACATTTATGAATGAAGATAATTATCAAAACGGGCATTTGAATAATACTTCTATTTTTTTATGATATGAACCCATCAAAATTAAAATTTATCCTGATTATAGATTGTTGGCTCAAAAATTTCATGAGATATACTCCTTCATACCACTAATATATCTATGTATATGATGCTTATATAATGTAAAATCAAACTGAGGACTTTTTTTTAGGTTCAAAAAGATAAATTGTAAAATTCATGTTTTTCATAATATTATAAATAATATAAAATTAATTTTAAAACTGTCTAAAGAATATTGCATCAGAGTAAAAGTAATTTATAAATAAATTGTGCTTATGTGAGCTTCATGCAATCATTTTTTTTTACAAAAAATCAAATAGTTCTTATATCTTATTTATCTTCTGCAAGATTTTTAATTGAGACATTTACAATTACTATTATATTGCAGAGTATAAACAAAAATGAGATGATGAATGATTTTCAATTTTTTGCAATAAATTTTGAAATTAAAAAAATTGCATTAACTTTTGAAATTTGAAATCAATATTGGTGCATGTGAGAATTTGAGTGTTGATTAGTTGTGATGGATGAATTTCAACGCTTCTTTGACAAATGATATCCAAATGTGATCACAATTTTTGGATATAATATTGTGATTTTGAAGACAAGAGAAAGATCAAAATTGATTTTATTCTTGTGAAATCAGCTTTGTTGTTCTATCTATCTCCAAAAAAAAGTCAAAGTTCAAATGGAGATAAATATTAATGGCTTAATCAAAAACAATTATACGAAGCCAAGAAGATTTGGCTTAGTCAAAAAAGATAAATGCAATTGAAAAAAGTATACCACTATAAAAAACAAGT